TCATTGTTGAAAACTTTCTTCAATGCCCACCCTCCTCCCCTCAGTTCGCTTTTCTCTTTGAAAAGTAAAAAATAAAAAAAAAATTCATTGTTATATAGTCCCCGGTTCCCTCACTATGAAACTTTCATTCTGGACTCCTGTCATGTCAATAATAGCTAACCATATAGTCCTCTGAAACAGTTTGCTCCCTCATCTATTTCAATGCAGTATACATTATTTATCCCTTCTTAATTTTCCCCCAACTCCAATGTCAATACTGCTTTACAACAGTGGCACTATGCAGTATTTGTCCTTTTGTGACTGAGGTATTTTATCCAGCATAATGTCCTCCAGGCTCACCCACTTTGTATATTATTTCATGAGTTCACTGTTTTTCAGTGCAGCGTAGTATTCCATTGTATGAATATACCAAAGCTTCTCTATCCATTCGTTTGTTGATGGGTACTTGGGTTGCTTCTAACTTTTGCTATTGTGAACAATATGCAGTAAACATGGGTGAGCATATATCTATTTGGGTGGCAGTTCTGGTTTTTTAGGGTATATTTCCAGTAGTGGAAATGCTATTGCTGTGTCAAATGGTATTTCTATTTCCAACTTTTTGAGAGAGTGCCATACATCCTTTCACAGTGGTTGCACCATTTTACACTCCCACCAACAGTGAATAAGGGTTCCAGTATCTCCACAACCTCGCCAGCATTTGTTGTTTGCTGTTCTGTTAAATTTTGCTCTTCTTACTGGGGTGAGATGATATCTCATAGTTGTTGTGATTTGCTTCTCTCTTAGAGCTAAGGATTTTGAACATTTTTTCATGTGCTTGTTAGCCATTTGAATGTCTCCTTCGGTGAAGTGTCTGTTCATATCGTGTGCCCATTTTTCAGTTGGATTATTTACCTTTATCTTGTTGTGGTGTTCAAGTATTTTATAAATTCTAGATATAAGTCCCTGATCACACATGTCATTACCAAATTTTTTTTTCCCGGTCTGTGGCTTCCCTTTTTACCCTGTTGGAGAAGTTTTTGGATGTGTATAGGGATTTGATTCTTAGAAGGTCCCATTTACCGATTTTACCCTTTCTTGGTTGTACGTTTTTCAGGATACTTTGAAGACTGTTTATGTTGTGGATTAGGGCTTCTAGAGTTCTTCCAAGCTTTTCTCTAATGAAGTTTATAGTCTTTGGTTTTAGTCCTTAGGTCCGTGATCCACTTTGAGTTGGTTTTTGTGTATACAGTGAGGTATGGTTCTTGCTTGTGTTTTCTACAGATTTACAATTTGTTGGCAGATACTTGAAAAAAAATTGATCTGCAGCCAATAATTCATATTCATTGTGCTTTATTCATGTACTTTGTGTATTATACAATGATTCATATGCACTCTGTTTTATACAATCATTCATATTATTGTTGTTATGTGCCATCGAGTTGCCTGCGGCTTTTAACAACCCTATGTACAACAGCCATAAAGCCTGCTTTATCCCTTGCCAATCTTATTGTCTCTGACATACCTATCCCTATTACCCCAGTGATTTAAATAATCCATCTCATCAAGGATTTTCCTCTCCTGCACTGTCCTTCCACCCTCCCAAGCATGATGTCTCTCTCTAAGGACTGATTCCTCCTTGCAACATGTCCAAAGTAAGTCAGACGAAGCTTCAGAATCCTTGCCTCCAAGGAGCAGCCTGGCTTCACCCTCTCCAGGATGAATCCGTTTATTCTCCTAGCAGTCTATGGTATATTCAATACTCTTCTCCAGCACCAAAGCTCAAAGGCATCAACACTCCTTTTATCATCCGTAGTCATTGTCCAGCTCTCTGATGCATAGCAAGTAATTGCAAAGACCATGGCCTGTATCAGGCACACCTTAGTATCCAGACTGACATCATTGCTCTTCAGTACTTTGAAGAGGTCTCTGACAGGAGACTCACCCAATGCAAATCATCTTTTAATTTTCTGACTGCTGGTACCAAGAGTGTTGACTGTAGAGCCAAGCAAAGTGAAGCTGTCAAAAATTTCAATTTCTTCATCATCTATCATGATGCTGTTAATTAGCTGAGTGGTGAGAATCTTTGTTTTCTTGATGTTGAGCTGGAACTTGAAATACGGTGTTGTGAGTGACAGGATAATACCCACACACATACAAGGAAGTCCAATGAATACCATCATCATGTAAATATATGTACCTGTTGGTTGTTACCAGAGCCAAAGAGGAGGAAATAGAAGATTTCTACCAACTTTTGCAGTCAGAGATTGATCAAACATGCTATCAAGATTCATTAATAATAATGGGTGACTGTAATGCAAAAGTTGGGAATAGAGAAGAAGAATCAGCAATTGGAAAAACATGGACTTGGTGACAGAAATCAAACTGGAGATAGAATGATAGAATTCTACACATTCAACAACTTATTCATTGCAAATACATTTTATAAAAAACGTAAACACAGGCTATACACATAGATTTCACCTGATGGTATGCATAGGAATCAGATTGATTACATCTGTGGAAAGCATCGCTGGAGAAGCTCAATACAGCTGTGAAAACTAGGGCAGGTGCTGATTGTGGAATAGACCACCAACTACTCATATGCAAGTTTAAGTTGAAGCTGAGGAAAATTAAATCAAGTGCACAGGAACCAGAATTTGACCTTGAGTCAATCCCACTTGAATTTCAAAACCATCTCAGGAACAGGTTTGAGGCCCTGGACATTAATGAATAAAGACTGGATTAGCAGTGGGATGATATCAAGAATGTCATCCAGGAAGAATGCAAAAGGTCATTACAAAGACAGAGGAGGAAGAAATGGAGATGAATGTCAGAAGAAACAAATAAATACAATCACTAATAAATAATAAATATGTATATCCAAGATGGATGTCAGAAGAAACTAATAAATAATCATTCATATACATTGTGTATATGTATGTATATATATATATATATTCATATACATCATTTGCTATTGATCTATGTCTTTTATCACCTCATCTCTTCAAGTCCCCATTGCATGTCTCCTGTTCCTTTACCACACCCTCTGTCCACTAACTTACTATCCTAGTGATTTTCCTCACTTTCCCTTGTTCTATTTACCTTCTCCATTCTCCCATCCCGTTTTGAACATTTCTACATATCTTACTCAGTTATCCTCCTATTTTCACAGTAGTGGTCTTATGCAATATTGGTTTTTTTATAACTGAGTTATTTCACTCAACATGATGCTCTCTAGACTCTCCCATGTTGTATCAGCAAATTTTTAAAGTAAAGGTTCTCTGACCTATTGTATCAAAAGGGAGCTCTCATGGTCTAGTGAGTAATGAGTGGTGCTGCGAACCAAATTTGAATAAATCCACGAGCTACTCTAAGGGGGAAAAGTACATAGTCTCTTCCCATGCAATGTACAGCCCCTTAAAGCCCAGAGAGTCCTCTCTATGTCAGTTCCAAATTGATAGCACACAACCACAGATGTATCAGAATCTCAAGGCTAAGGCATCTTTGTTAGTCAAGGCAAGCTAAAATTTCAAAAGCACTTCTCTATTTCATATAAATGAATATGAACTTTGCTATATGATTAATGGATGTATGAACCATTTTAAACCTGTAGGCCATGTGTTTTAGGAATACTCATTCATTGAAAAAAATACTTATTTAGTGACAGGTAACTGGGATTATAGTCATGACAAGGAACCCATGGTCTCTGTCTCTGGAGCTACAATATCCCAGGGAAGGCAGATGAAAACTAAATAAATGGCAAATAGTAATAAATAATTGTAAGGATTGTGAAGGTGATATCAGAGTTAGTGCTGTAAAATAGGATGACTGAGGTTTTTCCTTAATTTACAGGTCAGAAGAGGCCTTTCTAGGAGCTTTTTTTTTTTTTTTTAGGCAAATAAAACTAATGTTTTTAAAATGTGTTGAAAGTTGTGTTTACATGGTCTACAAATTGCAATAGAATTATCCTTTATGGCGTTTTAACTTTTCTTTTTTATCATGTTTCATTCATGTAGATTGTTGTTGGTTTCCCCCTGACTCTACAGTTTGGCAGGTAGAGACCTTTGTTAACATTTAAGTTAAGATGGGGAAAATAACGAGGCAGGGAATAGGAGTGTTTGCAGAGAACTCTGGTAGGCTACTGGGTAAGAAATTGTGCTGCTAACCGAAAGACAAGTGGTTTGAATCCACCAGGTGCTTTGAGGGAGGGATGAAAACAAAGCAATTCTTGCTGCTTGCCTTTGCAAACTCATTGGAGGGTCAGTTATGACTTGGTTCCAACTTGGTGGTGATGGAGTTAGTTTGTTTTTTCATTGTTTGTTTGTTTTTGAGGAGCCTTTGCATCTAGGGAAATAATCATGTGAGAGATACATTTTGGCCTTGGAAGAACAACACAGCAAGGCAGGCAGGGGCCAGGCCAAGCAGTGGCTCACAGCCTCTTGTAAGGCTTGTATTTTTTCTGCACACCGAGGAAAGCTTTCTGATGATATAGACTGAGATAGAAGACTGTCTAGGAGGCGATTGCTTTTATCCAGGGAAGAGAGGCTAAGGATTTAAGCTTATAAGAAAGTAAATAAGATATTAAAAAGTAATAGTAATGTAAACCAAAACGTATATGAATGATAGTGTGAAACACAATGTAAATGAAAGATTGTATAAAACACAATGTATATAAATGAAACATAATGTAAAGGAATTATGATATGAAAATCATTAAGCAATATTTACAGAAAGAAACTAAATAGGAGATAAACACAGGACATATTTAGCAACTGAATTGGCAGGGTAGGTAGGGTATCTGAATGACTGAATGACAAGACAGAAATAAATCAAGTGTTGCCTGAAATTAAGTTCAGTCTTCAAGTTTCCCTTTTTTCACCAAGACTTTGGTTTTCTGCAGTGGCTCTCATGTTACTCTTTTTACTAAACAGAACTCCTGAGGAGCAAGAGGGCAGATACTCATTTATGTTTACTCTGTGCTTTTTTCTCTTTTCTTCCCTTTTCTCCTCTTCGTGCAGACTGCTCAAGGAGGTGGACATAGAACACTCCTCTATGGACATGCAATTTTGCTGCGCCATTCCTACAGTGGCATGGTGAGTAGACATGGATCCACTGGGGCCACACGCTCAAGAAATGCTGACATGGATGAGCTAGGATGTGTATCCTTTAATGTCTTTGTACCTTTTTTCACTTTCTGTATAAGGGTGAACTTTGAAAAAGCTTCAGACGGTTAAGGCCTTCTATTCTTCAACTCAATGATTGTTATGTTTAATATCTTACTTTGACAGATTAGTTTTAGAAGAAAGAGGTATGAGAGTTGAATTTAAATGTTTTTAAAAAAATAGCATTTCATCTAATAAGAACTAAAGTGTCCTTACTGAAAAGTAATAAAATTCCATGTGAGTTCATGAGATCAAAAGTATATTCTGGTTATTTTTACATATTTTCCTAGCATCCACTTTTCCCCACAATGTTTAAGTTCTCCATCAACATAATTTTAGTGATGTTTATATACATTGAGGTATATGTAATTGAGAATTCTTTATTGTTGTTTTAACCTTGTGAAGAGAAAATAATTCTCATGTCATTTATCTTGTTTTAAAGCAAAAAAAGGATTCTCCTATTTTAACTTGTTTTAAAGCAATAGTTAAATTTTTTAGCATAAATCTAATACTAGTACACATGAAGTTCACAAAATATAATTTTAGATCCCACTTATAGATATTGATGTAAACAATCTGATCTAAGGGGTTAGTTAATGGAATTCAACAGTGTAGAGAAAGTATAGGTATTATTTTAATGATGACAGTAACAGTTCCCTTAATGTATTTTACCACGAGTCTGGTGAGAAGTTATCTTTTCTGACAAATATGGAAAAAGATCTTTTTTAAACCCCACCAAATCTTGAAAAATCCCTACTCCTAATAAATATACTATTCCTTGTTGATTATTTTGTCAATTATGGAGAATTTAAAAATGGCATAAATAGCTAACTTCCTACTTAATTGTAATATACAGGTGCTGTTATATATAAAATGAACTAAAACAAAATAAGAATTGGCTCTGTTACAATCTTGATACCTAATTTTGCCCTGGAAGGCTCTATCAATATGCTAATATAAGAAGTAAAAATACTTCTATAAAGTGGCTGAATATGAGAAAAATACATGAAACTAGTTTTTTTGTTCCCAGCAATCACTCATTAAGACATCATGAAAATAATCCTGGTTTTGAAAACAATAAAATCATTTAAGTCATAGTAAATAATCTAAACATTGAAATGTGGAAGGATGTTATAAGAAGACTTATTTCTGTACATAACAAAGGGGTTGAAGTATTTCATTTGGTTCTTAGATATGAGTCCAGCTTCACACTGATGCTTGCTGAATAGCTTCAACCACCTCATTGAACATCATTCAATAATATTTAGTACTTAGCACCACTGTCCTGAGTGTTAGTTCCAATCATGACTAAAAACAAGCCCTTACTCTATAGAAATTATATTAACATTATGCAAACTAATAGTACCATACACTTTTGAGTTGCTGTGAATATTAGAGGACTGAATGTATGTCAGTAGCTACACAACTTCCTTCTCTAATATTACTGAGAAATGTTCTGAAAGACTTTAGTAAATGGAAATCACCTTATATTTTGACCTGGAAAGTTTGAATATTGTAAAGTTGTCAGTATTTTTAATAAAAGCAGATGTTCTATTCAGTTTAAATCTAAGCTTTGTAGTCCTCATAGACTTCCTTGATTGGCCTTTCAGATTCAAATACCTCTCAATCTAAGGATATATTTGGAAACCATCTCAATCTCTTCTTCATAACTGAGGAAGTCAGCTCGTGCAGTAAAGAGACAGAGTCTGAGTTCTCCAGTTCAATTTTTTTTTCATGTCTCCATTAAACTTCTGGTTTAGAGCTGGTCTTCCACCAGATCTGTCCACCTGCTCTCTCCTCACACTTGCACACACCTATGTAGTGTAAAGAGTCTTTCTCTGTAGTAGGAATTTTCCAGCTTTTGCATTAGTTAGCCAGTTGTAGAGATTCTGGATTTGTTCAAATCTCAGAACTATTTTTGAGGACTCTTAGCAGGGTGCTTGTTCTCAATGGCAGTACACTTAGAGTAGATGGTGGTATATTTTGGGTTCAAGTCTCATTCTTATCTGTGTCCCCATACTTACAACACTTAACATGGTTTTTTAGTTTTGGTGAGGATAGGAGGACTTGGACAAAACTGATTCTAAAGTTGGTGTTAAAGAATATTTAGTTAGGAAGACCTAGATAAAGCAAAAAAGATGGTGGTATACGAGTTTGATTCTTTTTAGGGAAGTGTACATATACATATTCATGATAAAGTTTATTGCAATGTGACTCACCCACATTATGTTCAATTTTGGATGAGTTTCCAAGGGTAATTTTTTTTTTTTTTAGAAAACAATTAAAACAAACTAGAAGATAAAAGTGAATGTTTTTCAAATTTCATTTGGAAGGAATATTTCTGTCAGATCAAATTATGCTTTTATCTGTGATTATGAATATCCCATAAAGTTAGAGATGTGAAAACACCTCACAGTCAGTGGTATTCTCTGACTGCTAGAACGCACCTCTTTAGCTTCTGATGAAGGGAAGAAAGAATATGCTGCTTCATAAATGCCATGCCAGTGCTGTTCTGCCTCACAGATGCCTAGAAATCCGGATGCTGTGCCAATGCATCTGACTTTGAAGGTCAAGGCATACAGCAGAAATAGATGGGCCTCGAGTTATGTACAGAACAAGCTACGGATTTGTATGAAGACATTTCATGACAACCACTGACTCTGTTTTTCAGTATCTATGCTGCCTGTCCACCTCCCGCTCATCAACTGATAAACTGGCCTTTGATGTTGGCTTGCAAGAGGACACAACGGGTGAGCATTCAGAAAGATTCTATTGCTGGCACTATTGACGCATCATGAGATATGAGTGTCCTTTGGAGGGAGTCCATATCCTTCAGGAACTTTTCTAAAGAAGGAGAAAGTATATGTTGTTCCTACTGTTCATTTCCATATGGTTAACTGGACATCGCATGAAATATAATGGACATCAAATGGAGTGGTGTGCTTGATGATAGGATAAATGGCAGGTCAGTTTAAGGTTTTGAATAAAAGTTTAGGATCTGATAATGTTGGGTAAGTTAAATATTATCAACATTCATTTGCACTGATGATAAGTTCTGGAAGTATAACTGCATAAATCTTTTGTTATTCTTTCTCTGAAAATAAATTTAAATCTAAAAATCCAACCTACTTTAAGTCAACATTCAAAAGAAAACTACTATATAAATGTCCTCTTCATCTCTCTGCTCACCTGATATTTTGCCATATAACTATCCAAACATACTTTTGAAGCAAGTTGTGTGTGTGTGTATGTGTGTATACACATTTGTTCATTGAAATAGCAGAAAAAGATCTTTACTTACTCTCTGTGCTCTGAAGACTTACTATTTTAATTTTTCAGAAGATTAGTAAAATTCAAGATAATAACATTTTGCCTCTCTATTTAAAATCAGTTTCCCTAAAAGAGTACTGTGAGGTTTACATTATTGTCTCTTTAATGCATCTGCAGTGCTATAAAACCCCAAGTCCTTGTGGAAATCAAATGGCAAAATCTCTAGGTGTGTGTTACTACTGAGAGCACAGTGAAGTGTGCTTGTGTAAAGAATGCAGTCAGCTCTGCATGATGGATAAATGTGGCCTTAATGCTAGCATGGAGGGAGGGTTGAGGGAGACACCAAATTCTCAAAATGTCATGAGCAGTTTCTCTGAGAAGAACTTTGTCATTTCATTAAACCTTATCTTTGCCTGATTTTTTTTCATGGTCCAAGAGATTTATTTACATTTCTGAAATTCATTTGAATGAAACAATTGTATATTAAGGAAACGAATTTTGAATCCGTTTGGAGTTACCCTCAAATATGGTAGAGGTGTCTCTTTGTTCTGTTTCACTTTTGAATCGTTTAGCAGGTGAGGCATGCTGGTGGACCATACACCCTGCCTCCAAGCAGCGCTCAGAAGGAGAGAAGGTCCGAGTGGGAGATGACCTCATTCTGGTTAGCGTGTCCTCTGAAAGGTACTTGGTAAGTAAGAAAAGTGGAGTTGTGTGCTTGATGATAGGATGAATGGCAGGTCAATGTCATTATCTCTTTAAGATTTAGGGTTGAAAATTATCCAGAAAAATTGCTCCCAAATCAATCTGACTCTATTTGATGGAGGGTAAGTAACTCCTAAGTAGGAGGACAGTGTGGCATGAGTGGAAATAGTCACTCCCAAGTTTATTTACAAGATATTCTGGTGACCTTGGTGTGCATGTTCATGACCTCATATTCCCTTCTGATGGATAATTATAGTAATCATATGCAAATGCAATCAAATCAAGAACTTAAAATTCCATGGCTTTTATTTTATGCCTATGAAAGAGGAAGCATGAATGGAGGTGTGATTGTACTTAAGAAAACAAATTATTGAGTAACACTTCCATGCTCAGAACAGAGAAATCAACAAAATGAATACCAATTTGCTGGGCACTGACATTGCTGGGAAGAGAAAATGTGATGAAGAAGTTTCTAGTATTTTTGGTTGGGTTTTTTAAACAGTTATGCTTATTTTTTTTCATAAATTTTGTTGTTGCTAAAAATTAATCAGGCAGACACAAAAGTTGGCAGAATACTGAAATCCATGGAAATGTGAAGGATGTCAGTACAAAATACATTTTGATAAATGCTCAAAACATAATCATGTAAGTATAAAAAGGGGACAATATAAGTGTAAACAGAATAACCTCATACATCAGAATAACCATGTACATCATGGTAGATAAGGTGTGCATCAAAAGACGGAAATACGCCGTTTTGGCACACACTCATAACTAAATGCTCTTGAGTCAGACTGACTTATAACTGACCTGCTATTGCATTTCCAATGTTGTACATCATATGGGAGGATATTTCCCATCTTTCTTCTGTATGGCACGCATACACTGGATTATAAAAATATTTTGTCCCTGACATAAGTGGAAATGCTATTTTAAAGTGGCTGATTAATTTACAAGTGAGTAGCTGATGTCCTCTTCTCTTTCAACATGGACCTGGAGTATGGTTCTGGGGGGTGTTTTAAGTTGGTTTGTTGACCTAGTCAGTAAGGAGTTGGATGGCAACCCGTAGGCAGGTGGTTTGAATCCACCAGCTACACTGTGAAAGACAGGTAGGCATATTGCTCCTGTGTGGAAACTCAGTGAAGGGTCAGTCATGAGTTGTGATTTCCACACTCCCCCACCACCACCACCAATTCAATTCATCCTCATTTTGAAGGCTTTCCAGGGAGAGCAGGTTTGTTTCACTTTCTTTGTGTGAAGAAGTAATGTTAGATGAGAAGAAAATGATCAGATTTCCTGTGGCTGATGGGAGGCGTGTCTCTTGTTATGTAGCCCTGGGGAGCCTAGTAGTCTTCTCTCCTCCTCTAATCAACCAGTGCAGAAGAAACGGGCACTGTTTTTAGGACATGTGTGTGGCTGTATATGTCAGCTTCTCAAATAAGCTGGGTGTTCATGTTAAATATGTTAATACTTTATGTTGATCAGAAGCTGCACATTGAGAGGCAGTTGTACCTGAAAACCAATAGCAGTACAAATAATTCATGCTTACTTTTTGGTATATAAATTCTCCATGCATTTTATCTTGATTTTGACAAAAGCATTCATTTCTCTTGTTCTGTAATGTGTGAGTGTGATGATTCAGCTGAGTTCATTTGGTAGGATGCCACTGAAGACATGTAAAACTGGAGTCTTTGCGAGGCAGGGGCATCTACCAGCAGCTCCTGTAGAGCATTATTTAACGTGCTGAACTCTGGTCTCCTCATGTGTAAGAGGAGATAGTGCTAATGAGAATACTTAGCACCCAGGTTATTTGAGGAGGCAATGAGGTAATTAATCTGAAAATGCTTTGAATTTAAAACACTGTACAAAGGATAAGAGTCTCTAGGTGGTATGCTGTTTGCCATGGAGTCAGTTCTGACTCATATCCTCCTCAATGACAGAAGAGACCAGCCTCTAAGGATTTCTGGGCTGTAATCTTTAGAAGAGCAGATTGTCAGAGCTTTCCTCCTGCAGGGGAACTAGTGGCTTTGAACTGCCAAAATTTTGATCTAATCCTTTAACCACTGAACCATCAGAGCTCCTTACTTGGAGGTATCTCATTGATACCAAGTAGATCCTGACTCCTAATGACCCCATAGAACAGGATAGCTTCATGGGTTTTCCAAGATTTTAGTCATTATGGAAGCAAACTGTTGCATCTTTCTCCTGCAGACCTGGTGGTAGCTTCAAACTACTAGTCTTCCTGTTAACATCTGAGTGCATAATAAGAAGCACCATGAGGGTTTCTTAACTATTGTTGTTGCTGTTAGGTGCTGTAAAGTGAGGTATGACTCATAGCAACCTGAGGAACTGTAACAGATTTGAACCCTATCCATGCCATCCTCACAATATCTGACACATTGGAGCCCATTGCTGCAGTCACTGTGTCAGTCCCTTTCTTTGAGGGTCTTTCTGTCTTTCGCAGACCCTCTCTCTACCGGTCCAAACGTGATGTCCATCTCCAGGAATAACTTCTAGCAACAACCCAAAATATGTGATATGAAGTTTCATCATATTTGCCACCAAGGAACACTCTGGCTACACCTTCTCCAAGACATATCTGTTTGTTCTTCCAGCTGTCCATGGGCTGTTCAACCACTATCAAGTCAATTCCAATTTGAAGTGTCCCTCCAGAACAAAGGAAAACCGCTCCACATAGTTTCCAATGTTGTAAATCTTTACTGAAGTGGACTGCTACATCTTTTTCCTGTGCATCAGTTGGTGGATTCAAAACACTGACCTTTTTGGCTAGCAGTCACATGTTTAACCATCTTTTACCTATAGCTATGCTGCTGCTGTTGTTGTTATACGTCACTGGGTCATCTCTAACAGGTAATGACCCTGTGTGTACAACAGAATGAAACCTTGTCCGGTCTTGTCCCCTTTTTTAATTCCACCTGCATTTAAAGCCTCCATTGTTGGAGCCATTGGGTCAGCTCCTGTGGCTGAAGGTCATCCTCTTTTTCACTGATCTTTTACTTTTCAAGTATTATTTCCTTTTCCAGGTACTAGCCCCTCCTGGTAACATGCCAAACATGTGTGAGAAGCCCCTTGTTTCTCAGGGGCATCCTTGCTGTGCGGCTTCCAAAACAGATTTGTATACTCCATAGTAGAGTCCATAGTTTATACTGTCATCATAATTCAAAACTATTAATTTTTTGGTCTTGTTTTTTCATTTTACATGCATCTGAGGTGACTGAAAATTCCATTTGAGTCAGGCATAACTTAGTCCTTGAAGTGACATCCTTGTTCTTTACCACTTTCTAAAGGTACTTGGCAGCAGGTTTGCCACTACAATATGAAGTTTGCCAGCTTAACTGATATTTCCATGAGTGGAAAACTGTCAACAGCATGGACTGACACAGTCAACACAAAAGTGGGTTTAAGCAATAGGAGTTGACGAGGATGGAGCAGCATTGGGCAGGGTTTGGAGCTGTTACACAGAGGTCCTCTGAGTCAGAATTGCTTGACAACACCTAACAGCAACACCAACTTCCATGAATGTTTTTTGTAACTTTTTCCATTTATGAAGTTGTTTACTGATCACTCATGAGGATTTTTTGTTTTCTTTATATTGAGTTTTCTACATATTGAAGACTGTAGTCTTTCATCTTTGTCAATGTTTCTCATCTTTCTGAAAGCAAGATTGTGTCCTTTCCAAAGAAAGATGATCCAATAGAATGTGGAATTACTGGGTAATATCTCTAACATGACATACAAGTCCTACCTTATTGAAGATAATTTTTATTTTTTTAAGATTATTTTTAAATGATTGGAACATTACGTTGACAGGGGAATTCTGGAAATTTAAGCAGGATTCAGTGAGACTTGGGGACATCTCATATTGGTGCTGATATAAAATGAATCTTGACTGAAAGAAAAGTATACTAGAAAAATATTTACTTGTTCTTATATTGACTATGCAAAGGCACTCAGCTGTGTAGATCATAACTAATTATGGATCACGTTGCATGGAATGAGAATTTCAGAATACTCAAATGTGCCTATGTGAGACCTGCATATTGATCAAGAAGTAATCCTTTGAGAAGAACAAGGAGAAACTAAATAGCTTAAACTCAGAAAAGTGTGCATCAAAGTTGTACCCTTTCACTATACCTGTTCAATATTTATGCTGAGCAAATAATCCAAAAAGCTGAATGTAGCAACAATGTTGGAGGAAGAGTCAAAAAAACATAACAAATATTTAGCTAATACGAACTATAGGTATAGGGCTGGTTAATTTTTATATCACTATTGATAAGCATTCTTCACAGATAGACTATTGTATTGTTAGATAAACTATTATATTGATGTATAGTAAGTAGATAGAATATTTTATTGTTGACTAGTAATTGAATATTGTGTTCATGGATAGCTCTGGTAGCTTAGTGTGTAAGGAGATGCTCTGTTAACCCAAAAGCAAACAGTTCAAATCCACCAGCTGCTTCATGGGACAGAAATGACAATCTCTTCCTATGCTATTTACAACCTCTGAAAATCTACTGTTGGTTCAGCTGACTCCATGACAATAAAAGAGATGGTAAATTTAGTGAGAAGAATTTAGAGAACTGAGGTATGAAAGGATCTGGGAATAGAACACAGCTGTTGAAATAATCAGTAATCAATAATCAAGCAGGTTGTTAATATATTTATTCCTTAGTACAGCTTTGACCTAGTGAGATCAACAGATTAGAAAGACTGTAATGTTAATCACATTTCCCCTTACTCTTTGTAGAGAGGTGCCACATTCCAGTTCACAGACTTGAGCTTCAGTTTCAGCCTGTGGTTAAATGGTTACAAGCTTGGGCTCTGGAGCTCCTGCTTAAATGTGAATCCCAGACTCCCACTTCCTGTATCTGAATTCTAGGTCCTCATAGAGGTTTAACTTGAGGATGTGAACAGCATCTTTATATGTGGCCATCTGTGTATAATTTACTAGAAATAAAG